TCACCTGAAAGTCAACCCCCGTCTATAAACTATTCAGACCTACCCCAATTGCTGAAGAAATTCATGCATAAATTCATAACTTATTTATTGTAATATAAATATCGAATCATAGATGTAACTTCATGTTCCATTTCACGCTTATGATGTTGCATTTGCCTAGAAAACTGGATTGTCATTCCGATTACGAAAACGTGGAATATTTTAGCTATTGTTTGCCTGGAAATTATAAGGGATTTATTTAAGCTACAGTTGAAAATGCTTATAGTGATATAGGTTACTCGCGGTAACAATTGTAATCAGTGAATTAGGGATAGTAGAATTTTAGGTGAATTTAAAAAAGGGTCGTTTCGATGGATTCTTAAACCTGTTGCAATCCTGAGCTATTTGCGCGAAATTCCGGCCCAAAGGTACGCGTTGCGTAACGCGCTATTTAGCTCGTTGTTTCGACCTTTCTGCTGGCAGGGTTGTTCCCCTCTCGAGAGTACTTCGGAACGGACTTAGAGAACTAACAAGGGGTTACATCGAGAGACGTGTCAAGGTCAGGCTAAAAATAAACATTTACGCAGACACCGTCTCGATCTAACTGTATGTAATGCATCATAAACGTCCTAGTTTCGAACGATCTCAGCTCGCCGTAGACCCATACGTTGCCAGAAGCACGCATGTACAGTAACCATCACATTATATATATATATATATTATTTTTCGCCAAGTATTTCTATAAAAATAGACTAACTGCCAGAAACTCCAAGCAGCTAATACAGATTCCCATAAATTGGGTAAAACGTCGAAAAAAAGCAAACTTCTGCTTGCGAACTCACCAGTTTAAGGGATCGTAGGGCGCTGCTGTTAATCATAACCTTCCATCAATGATAGCTTTCGTCTATTCTTGTTTCCCATCCCGTGAAGAGAAAACCAATGTGGCGAGGGTAAACTGATGAATTGCAAAAGAAAAAATCTACAAACTTAAACCCCAAATTACAATGCGACATGAACGCGACTCACTAAAACTGGAATGGCAGTCTTCCAAGACCCGGACTCTAGGTAACGTTCCACAGGCCTTCTGAGCCGCCATAGACCGCATGGCGATTTATGTGTTAAAGTATAGTAATCAATTTTCTCGGATGGCCGCTATTACTTTTACTGTTGGGTACCTGCATCTCGTCGACTTTGATTTACCCGAGTGGGTGTATCACTGGTCCATGGAGCCATCAGTGACGAAATCTCATTTTTTTTAATTATACATCTTATTGTGATAAACAGCAGACGGAGAAACCCCCATAGTCACTAGGACCTGCTATTCAATGATGGAAATCGGTAACTTAAGCCCTGGTCCTTGGAGTGGCTAATCACGTAAGGCCCTATTAGATTAGGCGAGTTATTGGGCCGGACGACAGCAAAGCTGCGCATCACAAAAGCTTACCTTGCTTTCACAAGGCTGTTACCTGTGTCGTCACCACGAAATTGGCCTCTTGCTAAAAGAATGAGTTTCTCAATCCGCGATACTGTTGCTTCGCTGCAACTCCCCATCAAGGGCCGGATGCTGCTCTATTATGCCGAAGCTTGGTTGGCACTACTGGAAATTAAACGAACTGTTGTTCAACCATGACTGTCTACGCCGCTGTATACGAATCTAATGGAGCAACTGTACAAGCAGTATCATTGTTTGAAAATCATTTGTGTGTTCAGCCTCCGTAAATTGCGATAGTTGGGCTGTTACGCATGTCGCCGGATGAGCTTCCTTGGTGTGTGTGTGTGTGTGTGATGTTCCCCTAAACGAGTAGTTATTGAAAAAAGCTAAAATTAGACAGACTAACTTGGCACAAAAGTATAAAAATTCTGTTCAACATATTTGTCGTTTGGGTTCTTTAAACTTACTTCGTGGTCAACCTTGTCAACAGTCAGAAACTGGTTAAAATGACTGTCAAACAGTGGCTCTTTTAGTTTACTTGGATTATGTATCTTTGTTAATTTTGAACTGAACTTTTTACTAATGTAGCCAAAAACAGAATCAAGTGTATGCTCAATGGTAGATTAGGTGAAACTAAACTCCGATCAAGAGATTTACTCTAAATAAATCTTAAGAGTCAATCTTATTCATGTATTCACGTTACTGTATTGTTTTTCGTACCTTGTACCCTTTTCCCAGCATTTACAGTGGACTTGGCAGAACCAGCTGCAACCGCGGGTCGAGTCAAACCACCCGATCGACAAGCGTCAAGTCAACAAGATGACAGAAATCGTTCGCCAGCTGAAAGTGATCAGCAAACGGAGGCGGATGATGACATCATCGTTTCTCCTCTGAAGGTAAAACCAATACCTGTCCCCGTGGAGAGGTTGGATGACGACGCGGATTCTACGGTTGAGGTACGTTATTCTACGTGAACAAGTTACGCAATTGGAAAGTCACCATAGGTTTGTCATAGTAACACCGAACTATAGATTGATCTTCACGATACGTTCGTTCCTGTTTTGTTCACTCGTTCGCCTGGTTACTATAGACCACTACCCTGACCAGATTTATATAGCATTGTGAAAGCCACAGGAATTATTTTATTCAACATTGTCTTCAAACTTCTCGCTGGTGTTATATTCCGTCAGTTGTCTACCGCATATGAACGGTGTACGCATGAGAACCAGGCTGGTTTTAAATCTGACCAGGGTCGTATAGACCACATATTCACTCTTCGTCAAATTCAAGACTCATTATTTCCATCACCCCCCGAAAGCGGTTTTGGACTCAGTCGACCGCTCTTTATTCTGGCACTCTCTCTGAAGGGAGAAGTGTATTTCTATTTTGCGATCTCATTATAATAATGTCATAAATCCACAAATCGGTACCGAGACGAGGATAGTTATTGTGAATAACGGTCAGAACATCGGTAAATTGACGTTCATACAACAAAGTATCTCATTTGGAACGAGTCTTCATAATTGCCACACGCATACTGGATAGCTTATGGAACGGTCCAACAGTGAATGCACATTCCTGTGGTCACCATACTGAACAGCAATAATTCGCTCCAACAGGTCTTGTTCATTTTCATTTCATTTCAAAGGTAGCCAAACTAAGATCTGGCATGGGTATGAAAACCCTAACCAGGAGACTGAGTCAATTAGGTACCGCTAGGCTCCCTGGATAGGGACTCCCAAATCATGGTAACCGGTGGTTACATATATTGTAATATGGCTGATTGTCGCAAACAGTGGCACTCCTGCATGCACGCATTGTTCTTGCAACCCCAGTCAAGCCTCCAAAAGCCTCAGTATGAACGGGAGTGGGTGTCTAGGGTTGTGTTTGATCACCCTTGCCTTGCACCTCGTGAAATGCTCCCATACGACCACGCGTGTCTAATAGCTTCTGCCGAGTGAGCCCTAATCGCTGTCTTCTCTTCGCGGTTTTTTCATACCAAGTTCAGACGACGAAAAGCTGATATCCGGGGTTATAACCCAGCTGGTGAACCACTATACCATTTTAAGATAGCTTTGAGAAACTATAATTTTCATTGGCGAGACCGTCATTTGGAATTGAGAAACCATCACTTAGATTTGAGAAAAAAATGCTGTGGTTGGATCCGCTTCAGTTCAGCGCACCTCATTGGTCATTTGGTCATACATTTTTTCTACCCCCGGATCGACCACCTGTCTTCCCACGCTCTTTCTGTGCTGAAATGAGGCCGACCTCAGTCGTGCATCTTGTCGAGCTCTGTGACGGACGTCGAGTCGGTCGGTCGGTGAAGCCATGCTTGTGACAACCAAGTGGGACACCACTCGATATGCACGAAGGGTGACGCACTGTGTCGTGCCCACTACAGCTCTGTTATTGACTCAATAATCAAAGCTGGC